CRGRKCAGAGCAGAGTGTGACAATCCCCTCCCTTGCCCAGCTGTGATGCTGYGCCTGATGCTCCCCAGGAYAGGGTTGGCCCTCCTGGCTGCCAGGGTACTGCTGGCTCATTGYTACCAACCAGGCTTAATATCTTTTAGGAGGGGATTGAAAAAAGCATGAAGGTATCCTTTCCCTGCCCCTCAACTTGAGCAAATTAGAATCCAGGATTTGTGAAATTCTGTTACCGAAGTAAAAATGAGTTTTCCCTTCTAAGTTAAATGGGATATTTTGATTACAGACAACTGTTCCACTTTCCTGCATTTTATAAATTTCCTTGCATGTAGGAAAAAAAAACACTCATGAGACTGTATTTTGCACAGAAAAATACTAAGTAACTTTGGTYACATTTTGATGGAAGATTGAAATGGAATTATCTAATTTCACTAATGAAATTATCTTCTACTCATGAAACCAGCACTCACCTCTATGCCACTCATTTCCTCAGGTGAATAGCAAAGACCAGTGCTGTGCTAATGAAGTATTGCATTGCAGCAGAGAAATGGTTAATTCCAAGTGTTACAATCCCTCCTCTCAACTCTATTTTTCTACCTTGTATATTTGAAAGAAATAGGGCAAGAGATTAACAGAAAGGATTTAGACAGGATTACTGGGGAATTAGCAAATTTACTCAATGAGTTGTCCCACATCCACAGCAAGGACTACTGGACAACTTGCTTGATACTGCTGTGACAATCACAGCTTCAGCTGCAACATTGTCAGTTCTCCCCTCTCATCCTTCTTTCCCACCAGTTTWGATCCTGCTAAAGTAAAAGGTTTTTGACAGGAAGCTCAAAATTCATAGACAGGTCATCAAAAGTACCAACTCCTTCYACAAACACAAATTACTATAGGAGTGGGGTGTTTTTATTGAACTCTGAAATGGTCAATTATGAAGCACAGCAAYAAAACCCAGACCTGGAACATTTAGTAACAGCCTGAAACTTAGAATTTATTTTTTTTTTGTCGTAAGGGTTTGACATGCAATTTTTGCAGGACWCTTAGAGCTTTAGAATTTCATTTTAATCAGTGTAATCACTCATTTCCTCACAAATACACATTTATTCCAAATTGCAGTGACTTCCTGATTTCTGAGAAGTAAGGCACTACAGTGTCCCTTCAAAGCAGTTACAGATTATCATAGCAGACACTTCCCTTGAGATCTGAAGGTCAAGATTGCCCATGGAAAAAAAAATGCAATTGGTAACTGAAGATGTGTATTCAATGATGAGTAACCAATCACCACTGTTACAAAAACAGCCATTCTGGGTCATCTACCATCAGACTCGAGAGGAAGCTTCCAGTGCACAGAGCAGAGCTATCAGTGTTCATCCTCTCACAAATGGAAACTGTTCTATTCTGGAAAAATTCCTTAAAGCTGTCTTGTTCAAGCTAGAGGACAGATTTCAACCAGAGTCTTCAAGAATGATTATGTTCTTTTGGCTCAGGACAAGGCACTGGATGAAGACCTCCACATTATAACTTTGGAATAGGAGTTGCAGCGACTGCAATGCTTTCAATTGCACATTCATCAGTGCCACGGCGGATTCTGAAGTAACCATCTTCTCCCCACGAGGTGCCCCAGCTGTTCTTCACAATCCAGAATTTCTCACCACTTTCTGGGTCTGTACCATAGCCCACAAGTAAGACAGCATGATTGGTCAATTCAAAAGGATTTAAACCATCCTGCAGTCCAGTGTGATGGTAGATCCCYTCTTTATAAAGCATGAAATCATTATAAACCTCAAAGGCAACAGCCATAGGGCCATGCTGAACAAGCTCAAGTTTCATCAGGGCTTCATTGCAGCCTCCATAGAAACCACCAACATAGCGGTACTCAGAAGTGTAGTAGTGGTAACAGCTGCGCTTGAAAAGGCACGGAGAGTCTTGGGCTGTGTAAGGGAAGCAGTCCTCCTCCACCACACCGAAATCTTGGACATACTTTCCACCAATGAGATATGGGAAGCCACCATCACAACCTAAACAAAAAAAATGAAAAAAAAAAAGGACGAAAACAACATATGCTTATTCTCTTGGAAAGTTATTTGAGGCAGGAGACTCTCCTACTTGAATCAATACAGATACTGTATTGAACACACACTACAGACCCAGATCACCCTAATACTCCTATTAGCTACAGCCAGCTTCTGAAACACACAAGGCCAAATTCACGTCCATGGGAGCTGTTACTGGCAACACTAATACATGGACCCCTCTTTCACCCAAAGCTCCTGACAATCCCTGTCAGAAAGAGCAGCTAATTACATGCAGTACAAAAATCTGTCCTCACAAGGATACTGTTCTCTAGAAAGGTCCAGTCATTGCTTTTGCTCATCTCCCCGTCGCTGTATGCTCCTCCTCCCTCTGAATATGCCACTACAAGAATATTTAGATCCATTCTTTCTAGGTAAGCATTGCAATTTAGYTAGATTTTGAGCCCAAATCCTTAGATATTCTCCATCTCACAGTTACATGTAAAATCCAGTAACATCCTGAGCATGAGTGCAACTTGTCCCAGTTCAGTGCCATTGCTTCAGTGAGGTAGGCTGAAAAGTTGGGGGTTTTATTTTTATTTCAAATAAAGAARTACTATARATTGTAGCCTGCCAAATACTTTACRRAAGTATTGGCAGTATTTATGTGTGATTGGGAAGGCATGGAAGTTTTCAAAATAGTCTCCTTCTCCAGTATTATCATTACTTGAAAAGTGTCTTTATATATACCAGCATACTCACCCTGAGAATACTGGCTGCAAGACACAACCTGCTGAGGACTAAAGACTGGTTTCTGAGTGTTGTTGGTGAGGATACGTATCCTTGCTTCCAGCATGCCCATGGACGAAAATGCRTAACAGCTGCCACATGAGCCTGAGAAGGGGAGAAAAAGGAACCACAAGGAGCAGTCAGTAACRTAAACAAGGTTAGTCACTTGCCATCAGGCACAACTATTGCTGAAGTCCACTGAAAGGAGTTAAAACCTACAAGAAAGTGATTAGAAGTTGAACACCAATAGAGCAAAAACTTTAAATCTTCATTTAGCTATCATGAATGCAATTCAAAACTCACTTCTAACAACTTCTCAGGGAATGATGAGCTTATTCRAGAATAAGAGGCAATGTACTGCTCCAGTGTTTTTCAGCAGAAGCATTTAAAAGCCATCCAATTACCCTATTCCTTCAGAATGAACCTTCAGAGACTGCATTAGCAGGGCTGAGAAGGCTCTATCCACTCTTTATGGAGGACATATGCTAAGGGGCAATGAACTGTTTGAAGTGAATGTTGACAATATTGTTCTTATTCCAACCTACCAATGGATTTAGTCCCATAATTTTCAGTTGAAAAAATATTCCACCTCTACAGCTATCCCTAAAATAACTTACTTTTGAGACAACAGTGGTATAAATAGCGTGTTTGACATAGTGGATTCATCCCAGCTTCCTTTGCTTCYCWAGGGCATGTAAATGTACACTGGCTTTTCAGAGCCACCTTAATTTCCCTTCARCTTCCTGGCAAAGAGTTAAGTCTCCTTACTTTTGCATCAAAATTTATTTTTGCTTCTTGCTTTAGGCCTTTTCACTCCCTAGGATCTTTCTTTCACTCATTAAAAGCCTTTGGAAGGGGAATGACAAGCATCACAGGGAAGAACAATTACTTGGATGAGGTCCTATTTTATCAACTGCTTGTCATCAAAGTACCTGATTTCYTTTGGTTTCCTGACAGTGGGAAGGTCAAATATTGCAGAGCTATGAAAACGAGGGAGGTTTGAGGAACAAAACAAARTACTTTCTCTTGAACTGTGTAGGTGTATAAAAGCAGAGCTATTACAACAGCAAGGGTTTGTGAAATTGCACCTTCACTCAGATGCATCTCTGAAGAGAAGGGACAAAATCAGCCTAAACAGGAACACTCTTTTCCCAGCAGGGCASAGTGAAGCAGTGAAAGATGCCACCCACTCACTGTAGAGTCACAGCATCTGAGATGGGCCACACTGCAGAACACTTTGTTGCATTATGTGTGCAAAAAACATGAAAAATACAATTCACACAACCATTTCAGTCTGAAGTCTGTTGGACTGGCTGCTACATTTCTTTCCTGCTACCACAGAGCTATTTATGAAGCCCAAAGAATGACCTCTTTTGTAGGYTTTGTTGGGGTCTTTTTTTTAAAGCCTGAAAGCTAAAATTCTAATTTGATGGAGCAGAATGCATGTTCCACAGACATTTAGCACACTCAGCATGGACCCTCAGATTACATAAGAAGTGTAGGAAGCTTTATTATAGGAAACAACAGACTAGTTCTCATTTAGAGAAACTTTGAAGCAACACAATGGAGAAAGGGTAAGTCTGGAAGGGAGTGTTCAACTGTTTGGAAGATAAAAAAGCCTTTAGGATATTCACAGTTCTCACCAGGAGAAAGTACAGGACTCACACCTACACAAGGCCATATAATTTCCTGTTGCCATCTTCCAGCGCTTCCACRTAACTAGAAATTCCACAAGCCTTCCTATGCTGCTTCTGCTACCAGGAGTACAGCTGGCAGAATTTGTCAGATATAAAAGAGGGATCAGTGATTTAAGGCAGGCCCTCCCCATCCAAGGTAATGTTATGTCCCCTTCCCCCAAAAAGCTGCAACCAGATAGCTACCAGTAGAAGCAATTTTATTTGCAAATGGTGGCACAGGAAAGGGACACATTAACTGAGCTCACTCCTGGCCTCCATTACATAATCATCTAATTCAGGCATCTCACACAAGTCATATTAACACACTCCCTACAGAATCAATATACACCAGCATTGTATCCTAAGTTTTTACCAGTATTTTATATTTGTCACTCTCCACAATTTTCATAATGGYTAATGTATCCTCTTGCAATTAGCCATTTAAGTAACTCCTGAATTTATCAGGGTGGTAAGATTTGGAGGCAGTATAAGCAATTWTCATGGGTTTAGTCATTAAAGCTGCATGATAATTTGGCATCAGCGGGAATTAGGAAAAAAATTAGATGCACATCAGTTAAGTCAGTGTGCAGAAAACCATGTCTTTGATTGTTTGGAGAAAAATGGACAGCTGTGTCCATGCASAGTACTGTGGTAAATGGCTTTCACTCCAGCAACTCAGTGATGCCTGGACAAGCCAGTACCACCACCTGTTTTGGTACAGAGTTGTCAGCCAGGACTCCACCCAGTTTCCACAGGTCATTCACAGTAAAGGTGCAATCTGTCAGTTGCAAGACACTAGACAAAACCTTCTGGTTAGCAGCAAATTACAAAGTACATCAAAGGAGCTCAAGAACATTTAATTTAGAGGGTTTATTTATTTATTTTTACCTTGATTCCGAACAGGGCTGACATAATTGACACCATTCACATTTCTCCAGTCCCAGGATTCCGGCAAGCTTGAAACTTTCTTGAGTAACTCAGCTGTTAGAGGTGCTGGCTTTGGTCTAAAGAAGAGAAAATGCTTTTGAGAAACATATCACACTATAGGCAAGGAAACAATTACGTAACACTCAGTTTTTATCTTTGGCTTCTACTAGTTGGACTTGTTTTACACTACGCAATTTAAAACAGTCTCCATCTAAACTGAGTGGGTGTCAATTCTATGAAGAGATAAGTGTCAGCAAGATTAAAGACCTGCTCAAATTGCTCCCTGAGGGAACTATATTATTAACTATCCGCTGTTCAAGAATACATTCAGTGCAGCATGAGCTTCAAAGTGTGCTCTGTGTGGCAAAATCCCTTTGCATAACCAAAGGTGTAAGGACCTATGGCCCAATCAGCTTGACAGGACACTCAGAAAGAACCCCAGACTTTCCCACACTTAAGACGGGGTGTATAAAAGCCCAGGGGCTCTCTTGTTTGGAGCCAGCTCAAGATGCTATTTTGGTATTTAGTTATTGCACSAAGATWAAATTATTTTAAAGATCTGGACATCTGAGTCTCTGTTATGGGAACCCAGGTAAGGAAACCTGCTCCGAGTGTGTATGTGGGGTGTAGCTGCAAAASKGCCTTGGTCCCAGCTCAGGTGGGCAAGTGTGACTGCCAGAGTGGCTCCTGGGTGGTCAGACAGAAGCCTTTGCTTAACATCCACAAGCTACTGAAGTCARCTACTTCTGCACTAGTCTRAACTGCTGAGGTAACTCTCAGAGGYTGTAGCACAGTTCTGCAACAGCTATTTTACTGCAACCATAAGATATATAGAATACCTGACTGGAGAAAGCCTCTTGTCTTGGCAGCATGTGCTGACAGCAACTACAGACCCTTTCACTTCAGACACAGGCGTGGYTAACACCAACAATTCACTAACTGCAGTCCCACTTGCCCTGGAATCTTCTCTGAGGCAAGTTCTTACTGTGACTACTGCATAAGTGTTGAACGCTACCTGCCCTCATCTACCACTTGGAGCCATGTGATGTTCATATGAGCAGGAGAAGAGCTTCCTGCATTCAACTTTCACATAACCTGATGCTTGTCCTCAAGTGCCATTCACAAACACCAGACACTGAAGTCTGTTTTGAAAGCAGGAGAGAGCCAACCAAATACTGTCATGGCACTGCTAAGTGGAAGAGAGTTTCCAAATAGGTTAATGTATTTAAGATCATCTACAAGATGAAGTATACTGTCTATATAATGAAACCATAATCTGCATGATACTCCCATGCAAATCTGTATTTTTATTCCACAGTAGAACCTTCTTCTACAACCATACAATTGACACAGTTTGGAAAAGTAGCATTCCTATTCACAAAAATACCAAGAGTGGACAAAGCAAAACTATGAAGAAGGTAAAACAMCTATAAAGAAGGGAATCCTTAGATCAAAGAAGTCTAGTTCTCAAATTACGTATAGGATGATGCACCCATCCCCACTGCCACTCTCATCTAAGTGATCTGCAAGAGCCTGACGCTATTTTATGGGTTACTTTCCTGTTTCTTCACTGAGACACTCCTACTAGAGGACTCTTGTTGCAGGCGTGGCAAATTATCAAAGKAACCAGGGAATTCCCTCAAAAATCTTTGATATTCATGTTTAGGAGCAGATTGCAGTTCACAGCTTTTTAACTGCAGTTATGAACTGCAAATATGAAAGCAGAACCAGGATGAAGCATAAGCAGAAACTCCTGACTATGGCAAGCAGCTGATGAACAGACACGAGAGTGTCAACTGAGACTGTCCCCAYTTTCTCCCTGCACATATGAATTCAGCAGCGAGTTACTGGGCAAGACTAAAGGGTAGGTGACTCTATTTTTCACAACTGCCTGAGACAACAGATGCTCAGAATAACCATTCAAATGAAAAATATGTTTGCARCCCCATGAATGTGAACTGGAAGGCCTTGAAACTTGATTAAATATCTAAACTACAAGCCAAAACATAGATAGGACAAACCAGGACAAATACAAGCAGACTCTTAGCAGCAGTGAGGTTTGTGGCAGAACAAAGTGTCTTACTACCTTGAAGCTCTGGAATAGAGACCCCCAGCTCTTTTAGTCAGTTCTTCCAGGGCGAAATTCTCATACTCCTTGTATCTTGTTGCTCTCCATGACTTCTGGTGAGCATTGATAGCATTTACAAAGTCRAAGTTGTGCACATAACGTCTGTGGGAAAGACTGCAAAAAAAAAGAGATCAACTAAAACAGTAAGAAAAGGACTGGGAYTGAAAAGTAAAGGTGTTCTCTAAACTCAATATATAAAAGACTATATCTGGAACTGTCTTCTGGTACATACTGATAAGRAACATGGAATTACTGGATCAAGGCAAGGTTTCTAAAACTTGAGACAGACTAGATAAAACCATGCTCCTTAGATAAGCCAGTTTTATAACTGGGCTTCACCACAGACTGAAGGAAAAACTGTGTGATGCAACAGGCACACCCTCCTGTGTTCTTCTGAGTTCAGGTTTATTTCCAACATTATCACTGGCATTAACTTCAACCTCAGTATTGGAATTGGTTCTGATGATCTTAGCTAAAATTTGGTTCTTATGATTTTAGCTATAACATCAAGCACTGTTATGAAACATTTTATTTCAGTAAAAATATGTTGCTTACCTTCCCCTGGGCTTCTGGAGAGGTAGCTCGTTGATATGAACATCTGAGGGAGATGAAGAAATCTTGTGTCCTGTGAAACAAGCCCAGTTGTGGCCAAGTACATCATGCACCCATCCTGGTAGAGTCTCATTACAGTAGCTGGTTACATTCTGGCCTTCCTTTTTGTACTGTAATGTGAAGAAGTTATGCTTGTGTTGAGCAGATGCATTTGTTAGCACAGCAGTAGCTCCCCACCCACTCAGCTGCCTCTTGACTGTGTTTTACAGGAAGTGGCCAAACACACTCCCAAGGTTAAGCAGATGAAAGAAACTGGTATTTATCAAATAACTGCAGAAGACAATTGGGTTGTGACTTGCACTTTTAGCAACAAAGGATGCATTCCTATCAGTATCAACTAACCTGTGCTAATTCTTTGGGTGCAAAGGTTACTTTCTCAGCAAGATGTTAAAAAACCTCTCACTACTTACCCTTGTTTTCAAGGTCCTGAGGTTTCTTGCACCAAATATATGACTAGTCAAGCTCACTCTGGATTGCTACAGAAGTTTGAGAAATTAAGACTTAAACACAGGGTGGATGGCAAGTTTGTCATCCAGTAACCTCTCATACTATTTCTCTTTTAAAATTTATGCACTATTTTTATATGCTTATGTACTACTTAGGCACTGGTTTTGTTTCATCTTTAACCAAAGATGAAACTTCCTGCCACTTTTATAGGTTTGGGCTATGATGGCAAAGCATCAAGAAACAATTTCACGTGAACTATCAAAATRAGACACTAAGAAATGATGATCCCTTAAGAGCAGCTCATTTAAAGTTGGCAGCACATAGCGTAACTAAAGCCTCAAGTCCCGAGTACTAATACTACTTTTTTCAGCAACACAAGTTTCATTTTACCACTGAAGAGGACTAGTAATTCAATATATTCAGTGAAGTATGTATTCATACAACAGGTARCACTAACATTTGGCCCAGCTACCTAAATTTTCTGGATTAGCAATTCTCTGACAACACAATGTGTCATGGTGGGGGTGTGTGCAGCTCATTACTCATCTCCTAAGGTTAAAGCATGTTTTGTATTACACTACAAAGGCACCTTGAAAACCCCATGCAAGAAAGGTTTTAATTTTACTATTCTAATCACCAAAAAAAAATTATCACTTAAACAGAATTCAAGTTTCCTAGTCCAAGAAAACTTCATTAAATCTCAACCTATTTGAGTCGCACATGTAAAATGGTAGATGGATTTTGTAACTATGTTTCAACAAAATGTTYGCTCAGCTTCTTTACTGAAGGTGGTAGTGGTGGCTTACAGTGATGGAAATACCCCATGGAAAGGATTAATTAAAGACACTGGGAGGTTTGTGGCTATTGAGGTTTTGTGAGAAATCTGAAGGAGAACTTACAGTAAAATACTTAGGTTTATCGATCAGAGGAATAAAATTAAAGGTTAATCCTGACTGTTTTGGAACAATGGAAATTTGCTTTGTTACCAGTCTKGAGGATGCAGAGGCAAAATATCTACACCCAGCAAGTGTGTTTGCTGACTGGAGCAGGATGGGGGCACTAGAAGGCTGAGCTGTTGCCTTGTTTTATTATTCCCATCTTACCATGCAAGATTGTGCAATGTGGGAAATAACTACACTTAGCCAAATACCAAGGGCAAGGTCCAGAGATGACTTTTGGGAAACAGCCTCTTCAAAACAGAAATCCAGACATTTCCAACAGCAACAGATAGTGACTTTACATCTAATTTACTGTGAGATCACTTTTTATGGCTCTTCATGACAGTAGAAATTAATATCTGTCTTTTCTATCTAAAAGCTGCCACAGATTATAACAAGACTAAGTACAGCAATTCTCAATAACCATAGACTTTCAATCAGAATACCTGAAGATTATTAGGAGAACAGGCCTGCTTCCTGCAATTATCCTGCCTCACACAGAGTGTTATASTGAGTTAAAACAAGTAACACAGATTTGGGCGTTATCTTCATGGAAAAAAAGGCAATTAATTATCTGCTAACTAGCAAATTAAAATAACAAAAACAAGAAAAAGGTGGTTTTCTCCTAGAAATCCCTCTCCCTTTCCAGGAGATTAAATTCATTGCTTTTTTAAGGATGTAGAGAGATAACCAGAAAAGCATTCACACCATCTGTGCAACTTAGCTTTCAGAAAAGTGAATGTGGCGAATTTCTTACACCTTTCTTTCAGCTCACACATATCAGCAAAACTAGAAAGGAGGTGAGGGGACAGCCAGTGGCAATRCTTCAATACAAACAAGACAAAAAAGCCGATTTCAGATAGTCTGTGTAGAGGCCTGAAATTAGGCAATTCAAGTTGTCTGTAGCTACCTTTTCATAGARTGCCAGATTAAGCTGTTACTGAAATGACTTAGGAAAGTGGATGTGGAAACTTTGAGATGTAACACATGAATGACATTTGGATAAAGGGAATTTKAACTCCAAGAAACACTGTAGCTAGATACCCACATAAGGTCGCTATTTGCGTTCCTCTCCTCTAACTTTTAATTGAGAGCCACTGACGTAGAGAAGCGGCAGACAAGCCCTTAAAAAATCTCATCAGTGCCATAACAATGATGCCTACTGCTTACCAGAAGGTACACTATTAAATCATTGTTAAAACCACATGCAGCATTTTTTACTTCTACCAGTGAAGGACTGACAGATGAGATCTAGGAAATTTGACTGTACCAGTTTTAGAGAACAGACTATGAGTACACCTGCCCAGCTAACAGTCAGTCATACAGGGGTATGGTGCCATTGCATGAACAACAGAAGACTCAGGTGGATGTGAATTACAATGTCAAATTCAACTRAAGTTGCCAGCACAGTACCCAAAATATCCACAGAATCCACCCCAGAAAAGCATCCTTCATGGAGGACAATACACAGCTGTGATCACCAGAACTGCTGGACAATTGCTTGCATGCATTTCTCCGCAGACTTAAGAAGATGGCTTTCATTTCTGAGTTAACACCACTGCAGTTGTGCCATGTGATAATTTCATCAGCCAATGCTCACATCTGCAGTGTTAACTCCATCCAATGACCTGACCAAAGGACAACTCCTTTAGAAAGGCACCCAACTGTATCCATAGTTCCAATTCTGAGCTTTGAAAGTAGTAAGATTTAATTCTACCTCAAATCCCTATTTTTTCTCAAGCCTAACAATTCATGTCCTAATGCCRAAGTTTAGCCAAGCCACTCCAATGTTAACCTTAAAAGGCTTCATGTAGCTAAAATTCAAAGTGTGCTGTTAKATATCTGAAACCAGGTAAGCTTTTCAGTGAAGTATACTTTTAATRAAGTCTTTCCTGTGTTGGTCATCATGATACAATTTAACTGCATGTTCAATCCTAGTCCTAACTGTTTAAAGCTTTTAAAAAACCTTTAATCTCACTAAGAGTAAAGCAAGACAGGATGGAGACCTCATTGGTCACAGCATTTTAACAGGAATTCAGCAGTGCTACATAGAGAGGCAGACATTCCAGACTCTTTTACATCTACTGCTCTCAACTGAAGCAACGCCTGGGCAATAAGCCACATTCAGTTCCAGGAGGCAGGACTACCCTACCCATTAAAYCTGGTAAAAAGACTTCTCTCTCAAATTTACAAGTGTGCCTATGCATTTTAATATGGGAAGCACACACTGAATGAGAGCACAGCTGCAGACTTGCAGATGCCTTACTACACAAAAATACAGTAGATATTACCAGAACAAACTACTGCATCTTGCTACCCAATATAAAATGCAAGMAAATATCAACTACAGATGCATTTCCTTTACTCTAGGAAACATTCTGCAATTCTGAGTTTTGTACTTTCAGATTTACACTTCAGGRAAGCAGCAGTGGCACACTGCCAGTTAAGCAAGCCCAAATAAGACAAGYTAAAAGCTGACGTTCAATTGATTTYCAAGATGACTTAATAGCATGAGCAACTCTAACACTTGTACTTTGGCAACATGAAATAAAATGCATTCTGGTGYGGGGCTTTTTCCCATATCCTGAAAACATAAATATTAACTGCTGTCGCTTATCTAGGCTGTTTATTTCAGAACAATAGTCCTTGATTTTAACCAAATTTGGGAGCATTGGGGAAGAGAGAAAAAGATATGAYGAAGGTGTCACCAAGTCAGACTGGAAAAGATTAGCAACTTGAGTGGTGAAATATTCTAAAGTCTATCTCTTTCTTTTTGTTGAAGTAGTAACCTTTCAGTAAGAAAAAAATGCCAGTTATGGTACTTGCTAAAGAACATGTCAGAGCCACTTAGCCCAAGGGACAAACAGGAACAATCTYATGAGACTGTCTCTTTTCAAAGTGGTAGTCTTAACAATAAATAAATACCTCAAAGATACCAAGTAATTGAAACAAGTTGGCCTCAATTTTCCTTTCAGCCTCACTCTAGCTTTTTATGTTATGCTGTTCCTATTTATTTTCTTCCTTTCTGAGGGTAAAAAAAAAATCTTTGAAGCTTTATATATTGCATAACGCTAAAGAATCTTTGTRTCATCCAGCAGAAGCACATGATCAAGCTTCTGCCAAAAGTCAGTACACTAACTTCACATCCAAGTTCAGTATAGGAATGTTTCAGAAGCACACATTAAACAAGTTATTTTGTGCTGCAAACAAACACCAGGCAGAGTAACTGTGACTTGTGAGAAGCAGAATGCAAGAATGCAGTAGGATGCTGCATTTAATTTGGCAAACTTAAAGGGACAAGTTTATGTACAATAGTTAGAAATAAAACTGTCAGAACTCCTTACTTATGATACTAAAGTAAACTGAGGAAAAAAAAAGATTGATTAGCTCACCCAATCCATTTCTCTGGTGTATAATGTCATTTCCCTACAGGYCTCATGTGAGAGAACAAATACCTTGTAAAGGCAATGAAGCCCTACAAAAGTTTCAGTGGTGTCTGTTTAATAAGCTACAGGAACAAATAGCTATGATGAACTCACTGAAACATGCACAGCCAAACAGGCTGCATCCATATCTACACAGTACAGTAGCTCTGATAAAGCCACCACTTAKACAAGCCCACGGCATTCCTGTCAGTAATTAACAGCTTAATTCTTTAACACTAGGAAAGAATACACTGGAGGTTCAATTAGCAGAAGTGGCTCTTTAATCCTGAAACTCAAAAAGTACTGTATTGGCTTAAATACTGCTGCTCATTGTACCTGGCAAATCCTTCCTCTGCTCAATGTCAGACATGGTGTATTTTTATTTCATATGTAACACAATATTTACGGGATTAAAAGTAAACAGATATGCACAGTTAAATATGCCACGAGGTCAAGCAGTTTGCAAAGAACCAGTTCCTCCCTCCAAGTACTCACTGATAGTTGTGAAATTGGAGTTTTGGAGGCAGACACATTGCATGTTGTTGCCCAATAACAGCAAGCAGCTGTCTGCAGCAAAAGAAAAAAATCCATTTACCAAGTGCTGTGGTATTTCCTCATGCTTCTCAGCAATAGACTTGCATCTTGGTAATCTGCTGCTCYTTTGACAGCAGAAAAATTATTAGAGAGGTTAACCGAATTGAGCTCTAATCCTCTCTATGGTGCTTAAGGAAAGAAGTCTTTAATTTAAATATGTCTCACTGATGGATTCTCCACCACTGAGCAAAGAACCAAACAAGCTTGCTATTTCTTAATACCAAAGCCAAGTTCAAAACCAATAATTAATCCATTACCTCGCAAAGGGCTGAAACACATTCATGATCATAAAATGCAAGCCATTGCACATTGCTACTGCTCAGCTGTTTATTTGACTTTGTTTTGAGCAGCAAGATGAATCAGATGACCACCAGAAGCTCCTTCCAGCTTAAATTATTCTACGGCAGTTTTGATAAGTTGTTTTAAAAGTACTTTTGTAATGCAATGAAATCAATGCAATAAATTAAACCAATGCAATACATGAAATCAGTGCTTATTTGTCACTTGACTCAGCGCTCATCTCCTGGGGATGATGTATTTCACAAAGTATGAACAGCAGCAGCCTTCGTGACACTCAGCTATCTTCAAGTTTGCACCAAACAGATACATTATATCCCAGAGAAGCCACACTGTTTCTATGATTAAATTCCTCACACTCAGAATTCCTTTGATAATCAGCAGCTATTTTACAGCTCTACACATAGGCTTGCAAAGCAACTCTGTATTTCAGTGTAAAGTATCAGCCTAAAGTCTCCTACTTCAACTATATTGTCCTCAGATGAGTCCAACAACGACTGTGGAATTCTACCTGCCAGAGACGTCTCAAGACCAAGTTCATGGACAATACTAACAGCATACTGTGCTCTGCTGTCCTCATGGAGGCAGCAATTCCTGCCACTTGTAAGGCAGGTCCTGCCACTGCAGGTGAGCTCATAGAGGTATCCCTGTCTGAGAAGTTTCAGAGTGATTCTGCTCAGTTAGATTATCCTTCAGTGCTTTTGCTGTATCACCTGCCAAACCTGTGAGGAGTTTCAATATAATCATGACAATACAATTTCACTATCTCACACAGAAGAGAGTGTCAATCAGGTACTTCTCATCCTTTGCTTCTGCTCAAGTGTAAGACCCTGTCTTATTTWAAAAATTGCATTCTTATTTCCAAATTTCCAGTTATATGAATGCATTAGGTCTTGACAGTTCATTTTATAGTGGCTCATATAGGGCCACATTTCAGATTTGTGAAGAAAACAGTGTTGATATTSCAGGGATGTTTTAGTTACTGCTGAGCAGCACTAACATAGCACCAAGGCTTCATCTGCTCCTCAGGCAACTCTGACAGCAAATAGGCTGGGGTATACAGGAAACTGGGAGGGGACATAGCTGAGAAAGCTTACACCATCTGACCAAAGGGATATTCTGTGCCATACAATATCATGCATAGAATTAAAAGCTGGGGAAAGGAGGTGAAAAGAGGGGCAGAATCATGGCATTTGCCCTCCTATGTAACAGTTATGCATGATGAAGCCCTGCTTTCCTGGAAATTGCTGAATACCTGCTTATTATGGTGGCAAGTTACCCTGGTAGCAAGCAGTGAATGAATCCCTCATTTTGCTTTGCTTGACCTTTATCTCAACCTACATGTTTTTGCACTTCTATCCTTCTGATTCACTACTCCATCCCACTGATGGCTGAGTTGTGCTTTGCTGTTTACTAGGGTTAACCTACAACAATGAGCGCATAAACAACTTCCACAGTGTTAAACAGTCTGTACAGTCCTTTCCCTTATATGARTCCAAATCGGCACAGATGGAAGCTGCAAGGAGTTTGCAGTTAAACTGSAGCCTTACACATAATTTCTGTTCAGTAAGGATTAAAATTTCCTGAAAGAATGGATCACTAGCTTTGTTARTATCTCAAAACATAGACGTTAAAATAGCTGCTGTAAAATAAACYATCTACCTTTGCTCACAGAAAGACAATTTAAAGAAAAAGTTATTTCTTCAGTCTCCTTAGTACTAGCCAAAGTTTAGAGATTTTAAGGACAAGGCCTGGGTGTTTACTGTTGACTCATCCAAAGCCAGACACAAGCTCATACTTCTCAAAACAACCAAAATCACATTTATTGTTCCTGCCCAGGGCTGCACTCATCAACTGAGAAGCCCCGCTGCACAAAACATCTGTCTTGTAGGTAGTAAAGTCATCCTGCAGAGATTACTTCAAACCACCCTTCATATTCATCATGTCCCACTCATCAGGATAGAAGCAGAGCACTCCTAACGAGTGTTTACTCCTGTCTAACCCCTGCCTATCATCACTGTTTTCAGCTTGACCTAAAGGCATTAGCAGGGGGTGAAGAGAACAGTATTACTCCAAAGGAATAATTAGAGACAGCAGAGTGGTTCCTTAAATATTGAAGTAGTGTTCTGAAATAAAATTTAAAGATCCCAGAAATCCTCCCTCAAGGAGAATAGATGGCTCYTAAGTTTCCATGTATTTGACAACATCTGTAAGGAAAGATAAAGGTAATGGTATTTGCTATTTGACTTGGGTCCGCAGGTTCCAAAAAAGAAAAATTCCAGGCTAACAGGCAAGTTAGCTTCATGAAGGCCTTCAGTTGCTTTAAGCACACCCAGAAGGGGAAGTAATAGCATSTGTTTTTCAGAAAATAGCCAGTGTGGAATATAAATACCTCTTCCTTCTCTGCTCCCTACCCAACCACTGGTAACAGTTTCCTTATGTTAAAAACAAGAAAAGAAGAAATCCTTTATCTGGTATCTTAGAGCCAAWGATTATCAGGTGTTCCAACCACCCCACTGTGGCACTCAAGGACTGAAGAGAATCTWAACTGCAGGCCATTTTGGCAAATGGCCAAGCAAAATCCAGAACACACCACGTTAACTCACCTTAAAAAATGCAAACCACTTGTAGTCATTTATCMCAATTTCAAAGCCTTGATTGTAAATCAGAGTGAAGAAACCATAGTTGCCCAGACTATCCTGAGCCACATCTAACTTCTGAAGATTTACAACCACCTTTTTCTCCACAGGCYCTAAAAGAAATAAAGAAATATTATGGCATGATTACTGTATGGGAGAGACAAAAATAATACAAAAAACCAGCATAAAGGATGTTGTAATTTTATTCCTAAAGATGCTAAAATATACTTGTTGAATATAGTGTTCTGCAAAAGGGCATCAAGACACTTCAGGGCCTCCACTCACCTGTCAGTGGGTCTACATGATCATTTTCCCCACTTTTAGACAGAATCTGCCCATTTAATTAGCAGCAGCACCAATAGCTGTGACAGCTGATTTAAACACAATTTGCTGCAGAGCTACGCAGGTTCATGGGTGCTGTGGCATCACTCAGGCACCGTGTCTGMAATGACAACTCTTCCCCTACAACATCTGGGATGAGCATCACACATCCCACACTCCTTCACACCAGTGCTCCAACCCTACCACCCACCTCACCTCCACTGCCGGTACTGCCACTTGTCTCCTCTGATCAAAAAGCACATGACACGGAAAAATGCAAAGCATCTACTATTTTTAAAATGACACCGACATACAATCATTCAACAATTACTCCTCACTACTATTATCCCCTGGAGGGAAGTGCTATTTCCATCTCTCTGGATGCTGTCAGGTTTCCCCACTGCCAGCTCTGACAGCATCCCAGGCGGTGCCCAGGTGTCACCAGCAMTGCCACCCTCTCCTGCTGGCCATGGCCACTGCCAGGAAAGGCAGAGCTGGGCAGCAGAGGGGCAGAGAGCCGGCGTGAGCCATGGGGCCCACGTTGAGGCCTAGTCAAACCCTAATCGAAACAAACAAAAGAGAAACAAAACCGCACAGTAAGGTGGAAGTGCAACAGCGCAGGCAGCCGCCTCCCCGCCGCCCATGCCGGTTCCGGGGGCTCTCGGCACGGAGCGGCCGCTCCCCCCGCCCCGCTCCCAGGGCGCCCTGTCCCCCGCCCGCCCGGGCTCCGCAGGGAGGGAGCTGGCCGGGGCCGCCGCGCTCTCACCCGCCTGCGAGCAGTTGCCGTGGCGGCCGCCGGCCCGCCAGACGCGCAGCTCCCAGGCGCCCAGCAGGTCGGCGAAGGAGCAGTTGGCCGGCGTGTCGCCCAGCACGGCCGCGGGCAGCGCCGCCAGCAGCGCCAGCGCCAAGCCCCGCAGCGCCCACCCCGCCATCGCAACGCGCCCGCCGCCGACACCGACACCGCCGCTCGAATGGGCCCGGCCGCCGCCGCCTCCCCGCCCCCGGGCCCGGGCCCGCCCCGGCCGGGCCTCCTCCTCCCCGCTGGGTGTCCTTGCCAAAGGTCGGCCTCTTCTGACAAGCGCATCCACCTCCTCGAAGGACATCCTTCCCCAATAAGGGTGTCTTCTTCACCTAAGTCCATCTACCTCCCCAAAGGGATCCTCCTGCCCAACCCCAGGCCTCGGCATGTCCCCAGCGAGGCCAGGCCTGGGTGACACTGCAAGCCAGCACCTTGCTGCTGTGGAGGGCGAGGCCTCTCTTTCGCCATGGATTTAGCAGCACAAAGTGACTTAGAGTTCACATGTTACAGCCAGGCAACCATGCGGCATGAGCCCTGTTYGGGATGTAACCCCAAAACCCTGCACCAGCTTTGAGACACTTTGTATACATAGCAGTTGTTAGGAAAATGAATCCACAAGCACTAGAGGTTTATGTCCAAAAAGGAGACAGAGGAGTACCACAACTTTATTCATGAATAAAGGGAGAGGTCATGGGCATTTCCCATAGGGTCTCTCAAATTCATAGAGGACGAAGCCTCTTTTTATCCCAATTTCCCGGCCGCGGTTCCCTCTCTCTTTCCTCATTGGCTGAGGTACTTGAGAGATACAGGCTTCCCGAAACGCCTGATGAAACCCCCCTTCTATCATACATTGCCCCCTTTCAATATACATCTCTGTGTCTCTGCTCTTGTAGTCCATTAACATAGTCTGGRAKAAGTCAATCAAAGGAATTCCTATGGAAATCCTTCCCATTGTTTCCTTCTATCTCCCAGTATCAGCCTTATCTTACCCCCGGAATCAGTCTGTTTGTAAAGACACTCATTTCTCATTCCTTTCAGAGTCAACAAAAAGCACTGAAAACCCACCCTGAAAGTGGAAGGTTTGGTGACCTGCACAATCTTGCSTGTCCAACATGCAGAGTGTTTGCAGGGAACAGGTGCTATCTGGGACAAAGATGTGTCCACCAAACCAAGAGACTCTGGGTACAGCCCTTGAGTGCATGGATGGGTGTGCAGGGAAGTGGCTCCTTTTCCACTGTCTTTTCAGATGTAAAATGTGCTGCTTTCCCATCTACAAAGATATATGTGCTATCAAGAAGGCTAAAAGACTTGCTGATGAGTAAATATACCCTCATTTAAAAAAAGAGTTATATAAAAAATAACCCCTTTCTGGGGAACAATAAATGCATATAGTATGAAAATTCTGGCTATGAAAATGATGCACTGGCTTGACTATGGATATAAATTTAAAATAAATATTGTTAAACCGGTATAAATCTACCCATAGATGCTCATCAGAGATTTCAAAAGTGCGGTTTTAAATAACTCACGAGCTAAACTAGGTTTAAACTATAAGTGTCCCATTTTATTTTTGTATTGATTTAAATCATGAGATTAGTAATTGCATCAGTAAATTTAAACTGTTTTAAGTAATACATTATTTTACCACCATCAATTTCTTTTTATCCCATCTTCTCAATCTTTTGCGGAAGGATTAATTTGACATTTTGCTGCTGATTTTTAGAGCAACTAGCTAATAGATGCTCTTAGTCATACCAAAAAAGAGATTAAAACACTTGTTTTAGAAAGGCCTTTTAAGGATTCTAAAGCACTGACTTGGTTGGAAAACAGAATTTCCTCCATGTTACAGACAAGAGAATAAATGCTCATTCAGTTCTCTAAGACTCTGTTATCCAGTARTGCTATGGTATTAAAAAACATAGTTCTAGGTTGTTTTTTTTTTTTTTTGCAAAGGCAGTTGGACATGCCATGTAAGCTGGACATTTTGCTGGATGTGCCATACGATTGCATGCACCTTACCGTTCCTGATCAAGCCTCTCCAAACACATGTGGCTATATCATCATGTCTCCTTTCTTTACCAAATACGTTTTGTTTTTTTTCTGGCTCCACATATTTAGAGAGCAACTCAAAAGCTCTAATGACCTTAGGAAAAAGCCTGTGTTACTGTCCTTCTGGTTTAATGTGCAGGAGCAGAAAGAGTCTGATAACTCCATCTCATCCCCATGACACTGATTGGATGATCCTGCCTCTTTGCATTCTTCAGTGCTTTGAGTCTCAATTTTCAGTTTCAATTTGCAGCCACTGCAGGATGTTATTGCACAAAACCATATGGGTTTCTCTGTAATTGCCTGGAAGTCACAATAGATTATAAAAAAATAGAGGTGTATTTTACATAATGAGGTTGTGCAATGGTCACTGAGACCTGGCAGAGATGGTTCAGTCTGGCCGATTAAGTTCACTCCAGTTCTCCTCCGCTGTAACTTTTTTTACCTGTGGAAGATAAAGGCACTCCCTGTGCCTTCTATCCAGTATCAATTCTAAGCTAATTACTTCCATGGAAAGAAAATCTTCCCACCTCATAAGCACTGACATACCTGGATTTGTCAGTGAAATGCAGCCTTAAGTTACTTAATGTCTCACCCTGTGTGTGAGACACATCAGATGGGACATCTGTGTTTGGTGACAGACTTTTTTTACTGTCACACTGTTACCTGTTTTCTTGAAGCCAAGATGTTGCCAAATCACTTATAAGACCTTCGTAAACTGTGTTTTGTCAGTGCTTTACAATCTCCCGAGGAAAGTCAGATAAGGAGGGACCAAATCAGTGCCATGGTTTATTGTCCCCAAGGGGAAGGGCTGGTCTGGTAACCTCCTGATAGCTATGGTATGCATTGTCTTTTTTGTAAGGCAATTGAAGTCACTGTCACGGGGTGGGAGAGAACCCCTCAAAAATAAACAGTGAAAATCCTCCCTCCAAAAGGTGAATAGCTTTCTGCTGGGTTAGAGTGTTGAATCAGCTCAGCAAAGGATCCAGGGCTCCTTGGTCACAGTGATCAGCAGGTGTAGCATGGGGAAAGAGGCGGATTTTCCTTTTGTGTCACCRTGTGTGAAGAATGGCTCACCAAGTGTTGAATGCTTATAAACAGAACTTCGGCAAATAATGACRAATAAACCTTTTATTTCTAGACCCAATCCTGTCCTCTTTAACTTGTCACTGTCTGTATAAGCGGAAGCAGTACATGGAAAGTGTGTGGAAGTGAAGTGCTGTGAGGWAATGAACTGGCTGAAAAGAATCCTGGGAGCAAAAATCCCTGGCGTGTTTGTTATTCAGTCAAGTCAGTTCCCCAGTCTGGGAGATACCCATGATCTGGGTGCTAATTAGCCATCCACTTTACAAAAGAGAACACATAGATTACATGCCTGGAGTGCTTCACAGAAAGCTAATAAAAAATTATAACTCCTTACAAACTCTGCTGCATTTTTATTGGTGTGTGGTCATCCCTGCTTCTGATGAAGCTGTTTGAAGCACAGTATAATGGGACTAATTTTWAAAAAAAATCAGAGCCTAAACATAACTGAAGACTCCCTTTTCCTTTGCTTATTTTGGAAAAGTACAAGAATATGAGCATTTGCATGGTCCTGTGTAGGCTCTGAAATTAGCTCCTTACTGAGACGGGGTTGTTCTGCCAATGGCTTTGCAAGAGCAATGTCCTAATTATGTGCCTTTCCAAAGTGAAGAGCTGTACTCAAAGACTTATTTTTCAGAGCATTAATTCATACATGATCATTATCTCACTGTAAAATTTGGTCATTTTGTTTTACTGCAGAGTACTTATGCCAGCTTAGCACTATATAGTTCTATGCATGATTGAAAGCATTCTGTTTACCTCACAGTGAAACTGCTGCTGCACGTTTCTAGARGGCAGGTAGATATTCGTTTGTGATAGCTATAAACTTATGGATTTTAAGGGAAGACACTTGCTCTGTGGAACAATTCAAGCAGTTTCTAACAATTATGTGAGTTAATTTTGTGAACAGAATGGGTGTGATGTGTGTGTTCATCTTGATGTACAGCACTTTGTCTAGGGGATTGAAATTAACAACTGAAGTTTGCAGATGTTGGGGTAAGAATTGTTTCTTCAGAAAGCTGGTTTTGAGGGATTTTTGGATAATTCATTTTTTATTTCAGTGCAGGAATTAGTAATCATGCAAATACAAGCAGTGTGATTAATTCTCTTGAACTTTTTCTTTTTAGAAACAACCATGTGTTTCCTCATAGTCTTTTGGTGTTATTTTATTATTTWCTTCATTGCATCTAGTGGGCAAAAAGTTGCTTTCTATCATGTTGCCAGTATCGAAAGGCTAAATAAAAATAATCATAGCAATAATAAATAACATTAGGATGGAATTTAAGCATAGACTGAGCCTATAGTTTGATGATCTGGTCAGTTCTCTGACTGAGAGCATCATACTTTCCATGCACTGTAATATACCTGTCTGTAATGCARCACAGTGAGATACACCAGGGAAATGATACAGCCTAACAGAGAATGTGCAAAACAAGGGGGAAAGAAAAAAGAATGGGAGGATAACTTAAATGCAGATCAATTCACCAAGTTGCACTTTAACACATATCCAAACCAGTTGTGTTGGTTGACCTGGAGATCATCCTGCTGAARCACAGAGCTGGGAATAGTTGGATATGGGGGAAAAGAGACTCTTCATTGCAATTGCTGTGGAAACACCTAAATTGTAGAAGCATGTCAGCAGTCTTGTTTTTTTTTTTTTTTCCCCACAGCACACTGCAAGGTTGGAAATCATAGCGGAATCTGATTCCATAAGTCAAGCAGAAATATCACCTTTCAGTTACTTTRCCTGGCTTTTTTCCACTGAGGACATTTTTTCTGCCTTCTTTTTCTGAAAGATGATACACAGAATACTCATCTGCATAGCCTGTGTGCATATGTGTTTGTGCTCAAAAATATAGCTCATTTGTTCCTGGAAAAACATGTTATAATTTAAATTGTGTTGAGTGTGTTTTCCTATTTAGAAACTTGGGAAATTTGATGGAAGCATTCTGGAAACTATTACTTTGGTTATTGCAATGACTGTTAAAATAACAATGTTAATTCAATGTTGATTAAGACACTAAAAAAATCTAGATAATGTTC